CTTAAACAGAAAGAAAATGACGAATTCTTGAGCGGATTCCCTACCGCCTAACCTCTCCTTTCAAATAACTGCTAACTCACGAATGCTTCTGAAAATGCCCAGAAATCGTAATTCAGATACTCGGCGAAGATGCGGAAGCTGTTGCATTGGATTCGGACGACAGTGTGGAATCATGATTCTGCCATTTGTAACAGTAAAGAACTTCATCGTCGTCGATACTAGTCAATTTCTATCTCATATTCTTCTCGATGTGTTCCTCAGACTTCACTCCATGATTACTGTACATAGAATTTAACGATTTATCACCTCTGTGTTATAAACGGATAAAGGTTTAAGTGCCTGTTGTCAAACTATAAATCGGTTGGTCACTTCCAATGGTACAACCAGCTTTGTTTTTCATTTATGTGAACCATTCACTAGTTTGTCTATTTTTCTGACATCGTTTATCTTTTGTGTGTCTGTACGTCTGTCTATCTATCTGTTTTATAAGAAACTATTGAAAAATTTCACGAAGGCATTACAGAAGGCGGTTCCCTTACAACTTTCTACCTTGTTTGTTTGTTTGTTTGTTGGTTTATTTGTTAGTGACAAGGATAGATCCTAGTTCTCGTGAACAACGATCGTGTGTGGGTTACAACACAAACATGCTACCCCAAGGTTTTATTGAGTTTTGCACGAAATATGTGAACGGCACTGTGGCAAGTAATAGAGAAGGTAGACTGTGCTGTTCATCACCGGAGGTGGTCGGTGATGCAATTTGCTTATCTGGGAAATTATGCGGGATGGACTTCGGCCGTAGCAGTTGAGCTTGTTGGAAGTACCTCCTGGTGAGTTATCCTTTTGCAGAACTACGGAACCCTGAGCATTCCTTTTTTGGAATGGTGTTCGTTTTTTTGACACGGGGACGCCACGTTCGTCAGGCGTGAGCCCCTGAGTCCTCATTGTGTGATTCACGCAACCAGCCCACTTCTCGGTGCTGGTGAACAGGCGGTCGATTCGTGAAGTATTCCACCGGAATGTCAGGATATTAAAGCAGAGATCCCTCTCATTCGGTGGTCGTGGCTTTCAAAACGGGAAAGATAGCTTACTGTTTGACTATGGGGAAACAATATAGTCAATCTGTCAAACCATATGTATCACGTTGGATCAAGCTTTCAGTTGAATTCAGAGGGCGCTGTTCTTAATCCACTTTGACCAGCCGACTATAACATGCTTTAACGCTCAAGTTCACTTGCCGTTTCCGAACTTGCAAAACCAGACTTCAGAGAATATTCTACCCTGACTCCTAGAATCCTAGAACATTGGATCAGTGACCTGTCATGGAGAAACACTTGACCAAGAGCTTTTGTATAAGAACTATCGGTTTCGTTAAGCTTTTTACGGATAAATCGACCCTACGAGAATTTGAAAAACGGATTCTTTGTCACATTGCAGTGTCGCAATATTCGTTCGGTGGTTAAATCCTTTGCTACTCTATAAGGCATTGAGTTTGTTTACTTTCAGTGATTTAACGCTTTTCGTGGCTCAAGGGATGTGTACACCTGGGAAGCGAATTCCGCCGCCCTACACTTGAGTATGTGCTATTAGTAGAGTGCTATGCACCCATGTGCGCAATTCTTGGATAAAGCCGCTTCCTGCTGTTCCACGAGGTATGTATACAACCTGATTAGTTTTCATTCAAAATCCACAACGGTACACAACACAAACCGGCAAAATAATTTATTTATCTTTCAATTGGGGATACATTGGGCATCAAATCGGGTTAAATACGATACTTTGCCGATTGTTTTGCATTACTGCGATAATGTTATCTACTTAATAGAAAGCAAGTGATAATTGATCGTTATCATCTGTACAACAGCGTGGTTAATCATCATCGTCAGATTGCTCCCTTTGTCTTTGTCGAGCCTGCTTTTGTCGTCGTTGTTGTTGGGCTCGCTGTTGCTGTATTCGCTGTTGCTGTAGTCGCTGTTGCTGTAGTCGTTGTTGCTGGAGCCGCTGTTGTTGTTGCCTTTGTTGTTGCTGCTGTTGGGGACGTGTCTTCTGTGAAGCCCTCCTTCGTGCTTGTTGTTGTTGAGGCTGTCTGGGGAGTGGCTGTTGTGGTTGCATCGGTCGCACTGGTTGACGTGGGGATGGCTTCAGTCGTTGTTGTGCTGTCGCACTCGGGACCCGGCCGGCTATCAATGCCACCTTGGCCTTACGCTTTTCATCCATTTCAACAGCTTCTGAAGTCTTCTGTGCAGGTGATGGTATTGCCGCACTCGCTGCTTCCACAGAAGTTTCATTTGTCCGGGTACGTGTTTCTACCGTCGCTTGGGTTCTACCGTACTTTTGTTGTTGATGCATCATTTGTGCTTGTTTGTAACGACTATAGCCATCCCGAGGCTGCTCATCATCGGCTAGCGACCTCATCGTCTGATCCACGCTTCGTGATGTCCGCGATGTCTTGTCAGTATTAAGGTTGGAGCCTACAACTCGCCGTCCTGTCAGAGGGGGCAAAGGAACACGCAAATTCGGTGCCCATTCCAACACCAACGGCCTGAAACAGTTACTGCAGCATAAATGTGGCATAGATATATTCTTGGAGGTTTACCTACCCTTTTTGATGATGATCAATAGCTTCTCGAAGCATTTGCCTTGCTAATTGATAATTAAAGTTAGTAGTCAGCCTTCTTATTATATCAAAAAGCGCGAATACATACGGTGAATCAGGCATTTGACGTTTACCTGCAAATAAGGCAAGAAATTCGAATGATCAACGTAACCCAAGGTTTTGCATCTTCAATATCTGGTAATTCTCTCATAAGAAGACGAGAGCAGGCAGGGACACGGTAGCGTAAGGGATTAGAGCACGGTGCCCGGATAGCATAAGTCCGGGCTCGAGTCACATCCGAGGCCAAAGTTTTGTCCATAACGCGCAGCGAAGCTTGTCATCTGATTTACCAGATCTCCAAGAATGAAGTGGCCGATTGGGAGTAGCTGGTAGGGCCTTCATAGTTGGACGTAGTCGAGAGTTCTCACAAAGGTGCTAATTTATGTGGGAGCCAAACTTTATGTCTGGACGAGTATCGAACCCGTATTTATGCTTTTCGATCGGACTCTTAACTCCTTACGTTACGCTTCACGTACGCTTACTGCTAGTAAATACTTTTTATGGCAATCCCTGCCTTGCCTCCTTGAAGAGGGGACGCTTCCGCTTCCATAGCAAAGATGCGGATACTCCTCCCAGCTGGGGTGACTTTTGTCTTCTTTTACAAATCACTCACAAAAGATATCGAATGGTACATAAGCTCTTACCCTCCCAAAAACATGTTTTTTCTGCTTCCATTGTCTTCTCATTGTGCATTTTCGACCAAGGTAATGCTCCCGGAGCAAGTCTGAATACCAATCATGAAAGTAGGGCCTCGGCAAGGGTTCTTCCAGAGAATTTCCTTACAGATCAATCAAAACGTAGAACCATGACTCGAGGTCTCCTTTCTCACGAGCAACTCCACGTTTGTGGGCGTCTAGACTCCAATATGGCAATGTGTAGCCGTCAGGTGTGCCATATCTGCAAAGATTCAAAACATTTTGGATTCTCTTCAAAGGACGGGATCACTCCGTTGAATGCAGCATTGGCTAGGCTGGAATTTGATGGATATGGAAGGCGTGGTATGAGGTTTATAAGAGCTGTTCTCCTTGACTCGCCCTGGTGAAAACGAGGTGACGGACGACGGACGGATTCCTAAGTGCCATGGTTTCTAACGTCTATGCTCAAAGGACCGTCCAGGTTGAAGTCGATTCTGAGGATTTCCTATGCTGAATGCGGAGGTGAGAAACTATGGAAGTTAAGCACAGGAAGCATCTGTCGATAACTCTGGGACGTCATGCTCTTGTCGAGGTGACTTAGCCAAGATTAAGCCGATCTTACCTGATCTTTTTGCCCTGCTTCACGGTGTCACCGTAGTCAATCAGATAAATTCTGGTCATCAACTGGCCGGCACCAATGCAAATATTTGTTAGTTTAACATCACGATGGATATACTTCATACTGTGGAGAAACTGTAAATCAATCGATTGGAAAATGTCCTTGACCATGAGGGTCATCAACAATCCTTTGAACGGACATTTCATCATAAGCATCATCCTTTACCTTATCCCATCTCAAAGATTACGCTTGTTACTTTCCTTTGAGTCAGCAGCTTAACCGGCCTTCTAGTAATGTGCCGGTTAATCTGTCCATATGTGGGATATCAGTTATCGACGGGAAAAGAGAAAGTCAGGGGTTACTCAAAGAAAAAACCGTTTTTCCTGATGAATTATTCTACTTCAGCTACTTCATGGTATTACTTTCTATTTTCTTTTCAAACTGCTGCCCAGGTGCAGCTCGCAACGTTGCTATGCGAGTGCTAAGCTTTAGGCGGAGTGATACTTGAACCCTCATTGATGCCTTTCTTTCACTATTACACTCACTTATCATATCGTATCATGTTATATCATATCATATATTATAGCATGCTATGCCAGTTTCTTTCAACTACCGCCACTTATGTGCGTCATTTTCATGGTCACATGCTGAAGCGAATGAATATTCCACTTAAGAATGACCTTCATAAGGCTGTACTCATGGAAAAGGGTTCAAGGAAGAAAAAGAAGTTCTGGGGACGAATCCTCTTATGCCATATTGAATCTCTCTCTATGTCAAATTGAACCTTGACCAACCGCTATCGCCGCTAAAGCTTCATGAGCGACATAATATACTGTAGCTGGCTTCAAAGAAGCTGTCTGTTCACGAAGTTTCTCGAGATTACGATCCAACAGGTTCATCACTGAAAATCGACCAGTTTGGAAAGTCTTAGTTAAGAAAATCATTCATCACTTTGGTAGTGTGCTGTATTTACTTGAGGGCAAGGACTTTAGTCATCCCTAACGGTGTGCTTGAGGTAAATGCGGTCTCACATAGGGAGTTTGAACTTTCCCTCAGATAAGACTGACGACCGAAAAACTTGCAGAGATGCTTTTGAGATGGTAATGACCAAAATTTTTTCTCAGCCTTAGATGGTTTCCTGTATAGCCAACATGATCGTGTATGGAGTAATGGACAGCTCTATTAGAGAGCGTGCTACTTTAGCCTCGTCCAGACCTCTCAGTAAGTGGCGACTGAACTGCAAACTTCAAAAAGAGAGAGGAGACGATGTGCTCCACACTGCGCTCCTAATAGCTGATATCGACGTTCTTCGTTAGATACCAGCACTGCTGTTGTTGTTTATTGTTCATCAGTTATCAATACAGTATCTTTTGTCAATCACAGAAACCCCATATTGCAATTACCCGATTTGGGTACGGTAGCTTCCGCTCTGTTGGTGAATCTCGGTGGCGGGACTCTCTGCAGTTGTGTTTGTGTATTGTTCCCATTATAAATTTATGACCCATCCTTATTATTGACAAACCATCAAGGACCTGTAATTCCGTACAACCCCCTTACTTTCTACTTTTTTTGAAGCCCCATATTTCTTGCAACGGCTGATTTTTGCGTTTTCTTCGTCATTTTTGCAATGCTCTGTGCCGTCCTCGATTACTTCAGTTAAGCTAGATTTTATTTATTGTGTATTTCCATCCTTAGCTATTTACAGTAGCCACTGATCAGATTATGAAAGCAGTTTCAGAGAAGCCATGTACAAAATTCTTCTTCGGAAATCAACTCTGGCCTTCACCTCTATAGTGTCTATGTAAAACTGATATTACCTATAAAAGGTAAGTCTGCAACTCGTCCACTGTCGAGAACAATAGGGCTGTATGGGCATTTGTTCTTCTTCAGCTCATTCAGAATTCGAAGTTCACGCTGAAAAAGGGTGAAGTGGATTTTGCCGGGCCATTCAATGACTACAACAGTATGACCGAATCATTCCGATCGGAAAGGCCACCGATGTCAACAGACCTTCATCCGTAAGGTAATATTTACGCTATATGGTCGAATACTGGTTTTCATAGCGAACAGAGTATTCTTTTCCACTGTCTCGTTGCTTAACAAACTCCGATTACTCAGGTAAGTGGTATTGACAACTCTGATGGCGTAAACAGTTGCTTACTTGGCGCAAACTTGCCGCGATATCAGGTAGAGGGCAGTATACCTCCCTTCGTTGTACTTCAGCTGGACTTCGTAGCGATTGAACTTACGATCTTCTTCATCGAGACTGAAATTTGCAAAGACTAATTCACTATTAGAGGTGGAACCTAGATAGACAGGCAGGGTGCAGTTGACTAGAAAATGTCGCTTCGCGACGAGAGCGACGTCGCGCGCGAAGAAAGAGCAGTATGAAGTGGGAGCATTGCAGCGAGTACGAAATACAAGAACAACAGATGTAGCAGTAGAAGCATGCCAAGAGTAACACCGATCTGATTGATCGAGCTGTATGGATAGCGCTAAAACTGGAATAACGAAGCAACTCGTCCGCGACTGCCGCGTGCGGCGGATCGACTATAGGAAACCGATTCAGCTGCTCGTATCCCTCGATGGAGATCCCTAGATAGTGATTAATCAAGTGGCTACTACCTGCACAACCTGAACCTTAAGTCCCCATTTCGCTTGAGAGACTGTAATGAAGGCAGATGTGCTATGTACGTCTTGAAGAATGGGCGTCATTAGATTCACTTCTTGAAGAGATTAAAAACTGATCCTAATGACACTCGTCCTACGGAATCTGCTACTGCAATCAGTAAGGTCGCCCATGCTGTTCACTTCTGTTACTTGTCGTGCGTGCATTTGGATTGCCACTTGTGACTTAAGTCTTCTGAGTATTCCTGGATAACTGGTTCTCTTCACTACTACCGACATACTCGGGGCAACAAAAACTTGACCTCATGTCGCGCATATGACATCTTTGCGACTTTTCCTACTTCTAGCATTTCATAGATAGAACTGGGAGGTGAACTAACTTGTCATCAGTGATTATAAGGTCGCCTGTTTGTAGATCACTCTTTCCTCTGATAAACATATCCATGAGCGCAGCTTCTTCTCTCTTGAACGACAGCATCAGTTTGAGTTTGAGCTTTCAAAAGGACAATTTTCGTTTGCTTTCAAACTTCGACGACCGACCCCCATCAGTGCACCCAGTGGAACGCAATGAAATGGATATCAGACTCATGCGCGTAAAATCGATATCCATTTCAAGTCCGACTCAGCCGGGGAACGGTCTGTTGAGGCGTGAAAGTTTCTTCATATCTAGAACGGTCGGCGGCATGCTGATCCGGGTAACCTTACCTCTAGGTTGATTCGTCCGTCAGCTCCAGCAAGATCTGGTCGTTCCTCTTCCAGAATTCGAGCACTGTACCATGGTGGATGCTTTCGTGGCTTAACTGTAGCTCCAGGCAATGCCTGAAAAACCGTGAATGCCATATCTCTTCAGCTTGTGCTCAAATGAACAGACCTGCTGCCTTTTTTGTGTGGCTACGGGCAAAACAGTTTGTCTAGTCTTCTCTGATACTTCAGAGCCTGAGTCGGTGTCTGACAAATCGGACTGAAAACTGGGTGATACTGTCTTGTAATGGGACTTCCGAAACCTCCACATAGCCACTTACATCGTCATTGTCCTGCCTTTTCTTTTTCTTCTAAAATGAGAATTGATGAAGCAGTCAAACAAGTAAAACTGGAGTGCTTTAAAAGGCACATGTAGGGGACTAAAGTAAGATTCGGAGCGTTTCAGATTCATTGCTGGCTCTCGCTCACAAGGAAGTTACTTGAGATGGGTGCCACTGATGGATTCCCTCTCAACTAGGCAAATGCTTGCTCAGAAGACTTTTCATCAGGAAGAGCGTAGCCATCTCAGTAACTTTGCCCACAGACAATTTCTGAAAGTTGGTTTTGAATAGGAATCGTAAGACGTACTCCCATGACGGTTGACTTTTGGGCAGCTGCTGTGAGAAATGAACATTACTACTGCTAGTAGGGTTGGGATGATTCTGGTGTAAACAACTTAACTGATAGT